AAATGTTTCTTGGAAGGGATATTGGGTTTTAACGGGTCAAAAAATTTTAACAACATATGAATATAACGCAAGCGAGTTTTGGTTTATTTTTGGACCTACTAAAGACTATCGCATGGGAGAATCAAGGAAAGGCTGCTCCCCTCACCTCGTCGTCGAAAATTTTCGATAATTTCCATAATTTTTTCCCTTTGCGGTGACGAAACCGATCTTGTCTCAATCCTGAGCCCTAAATCATAGTCCTGATTTTGCTCTTGTAGAGCATTCAGGAACTACTTTGGTGAAGAAGCAAAACCATTAGCGCAATCATAAGATAATCGACTTTTTCTTCACTAACATTAGCTATGCCATACTTAGATAATTCACGAGCAAGCCTTATATTGGAATAGAAAGTGCGTAAACTTTGAAAAAGTGTATAGTATTGCTTTAATTGGTTTTGTGTGTGGGGTGAGTGTGGGTGTGGCTGTGCGAGTGGAAATAAAGAGAATACCCGCACCCTAACTTACCCACACCCACACTCGTCTAGACATTATAGTTTATTTTCAGTTTTATTAAACAGTTAACCTTTTAGTATAAGATTAATGATCAACTTTAAACTCTTCTTATTAATTTTATGCTTAAAATATTTTCTTTATGTAGGTGAAGATGAAAATTCAAATATACGTACTTTTCGTCATCAAGGCATTGATCATTTCCGTAAACATGCACGTACAGCCAATATAGTTGAAGTGGAAGATTTATTAGCTGGAAATTTAATTAACTATTGTTGTTCAATTTCAAAACGTCTTACAGCAAAATTAAGTAAAAATGAACGGGAACTTGATGAAGACGATCGAGATATGTGTAATGTAACAAGTGCTATTCATGCCGACGATAAAGCAAAAGATGAAGAAGAAGATGAAGAATTATAATTTTTTTTTTTTTGAAATAGCCTATTCCATAGAGTTTCTCTCACAGAAACATCTGAGTCTTTTAAATCGACCGAAGGTTATCCTACCTTGTAGGGCTCAATGAATTGTATTTACAGTAAAAACATTAGTTTAGATGAATGTTTCTTTAAGGAGATATGGAACATACAAGTTCATATTTGTTTATGAATTATAGCAGTTTCAGGTCTAACTTGTGCGCTCGATGTCTTCCTAAAGAAACGTTCATCTAAGCTGATTTTTTCTACCATAAATACAAGTGTGGGGTGTGGGTGTGGGTGGGTGCGTATTTTAATCTGCAGGACTCAGATCCACACCACGCCCACACCCACACATCCACACCACCCACACCCACACCCACCCACACCCCACACTCACACCCCACACTCCACACCCACACCCAGCACACACCACACTCACATCCCACACCCACACCCACACCCACACCCACACCCACCCACACCCACACCCCACACCCACACCCACACCCACACCCACACCCACACCCCACACCCACACCCACACACACCACACACCCACACCCCACACCCACACCCACACCCACACACACCACACACCCCACACCCACACCCACACCCACACCCACAC